TAACGACAATGGGACGCGCGGCGAAAGCCGCAAGATGAAAGCAAGGATGTACAGCGATGTCCTATGAGACAACCACAAAATTTTACGAACAAATAACAAAATGACTAAAAATGAGTATATCACATGGTGAAGCAAAGGTAGATGCTCTTGTCTGTGTAGCATGGCGCCGGTGCGTGCCTTCGGGCAAGGAGCATTATAGTAAAAGATTTCATCCGTTCCTTCGTACAGTCTTCATGTGGCTCAATGGTGGCACCTAGATGTTAACCGAGGCCTGATGCTCGCGCGATACTAAGCGACGGACCTACCCTACTGCGCCCTAATGCGCCGAAATGATAAAGATAAAAACTTATTTATCTCCCAATAACATCAAACTACAAATGCAGTAAACTAAACACTAACCAAATCGAATAACTACTACTGCTACTACTAAACACGGGACGAGGGTCCATCTCGTGCTGTTGATGCGCGTCCGTCAAGCAATCTTATACAAGCATGGCTCTCGAGGGTTCGCGCAACAAATCCACCGCGCAACGCCAAGGTGTAAACGGCACGTCCCCTCCTGCTCCTGTAGTAGTAGTCCAACTTCCAACTCTACATTCCATTCCGAACACTACTACTGCACGACTATGATGCGCCAACTAGTATCCCTTTTAATCCGAGAATCCGGCTTAACTGCTCTTACAAAGAAGGAACAGGAGTATAGCGTTTTTATGGTTTGAACAAGAAAATAAACCTCGGATAAGAACGAAGACGCGCGAGGCACTAAAGTGAAGCGCCGCCGCTATATATAGCAGCCTACTGGCAACGAGCCAATAAAGAAGAGGTCCGAAGACCACTGCGGCAGTACGCATCACGGCTACCGTCGTCGCTAGCGCGTTAAACCGGTGCTTCCTCTCCTGTTTTGAGAAGCGCCTTGCATCGCGAGACGCGACACTTCAACTTTGAAAAGGTGATCTATCCTTGACCTTCCATTTGTTCCACCAATTCCAAGCTTTCTGAGTTCATCTGTTGGTTTGTTATCAACAGTTTCCCCTATGAAAACTAATGTCTTTAGTGGTCCGACAGCTGGACGTTTTGGTGGAACAAATGCGAGGTCAACGCCGAGACATTCGAGAATAAAACTCAGTCCTCACTCACAAGCTCTGACGAAGGCGAGTTTGCCGAAACGTCAGCCAAAACAAATCATACTCATCACTTCCCCATCTAAACTACAGAAAATTTCACAGTCAATATAATGTTCCTACAGACCGATAAAAACGTACATCGCAAAGAGCGCAATTCTCTTAAATCTCATGTCATTCCTCAAGCAAAGGTGTGCCGAAACGCAAAAACACCAGACTATCAAGTTTGCTAGACTGCACCAGCATCTCCTTCCGCGTAACACCACATGTAATTACGTTTTGCTTTTGTTCCCTTCTTTACCGTGAACTATCTCAAAACAACAAAAAATCTCGAGAGCGGGATGCTATAATTAGAGACAGAAAAGCTTTATCGGGAAAATGACAATGATTGCAAACAGACACAAATCACACATGTTGAGATCTCCACGCTGACATTGCTGAAGTATTCGCTGCCGACATGCGCACAGCATGCTCCCAGTGTTCAAATTCTACAACTCCACTTCCGCTAGAGGATGCGACTAGCCTAAAACAAATTAAAAAATTAGCAGACCCGAAAACACAAAAAAACTGCGTTACCTCGACATGATCAGCATTTCATTGAGATATGCAGCTTTATCTACCTTTTTGTCAAGTGTTGAGCACAGCGTAACGAAACTATCTTGTATTTTCTGGAAAATACGTTGGTCAGAACTTCAAGATGAGAAAGTTTATAACCAATCCATACCTTGGATACTTCATCTGAAAGCGACACAGTGCTGACGGTGCTACGGCTTTGTTGGATAAAATGCCGTTTTTGCTCAATACTTTTGGGATCAAGCTTTGCCTCAGTTGAGTTTGATAGGAATGGAACTCGGAAAGGAGTCTAAAAATTGAACAGCATAGAAAAGAAAAAACTTGCTTTACGAT